ATTATTTTGTTTCCATTTATTTCATTTTTTTAATTTTATTATTCTATTTTGTGTTAATTTATTTTATATCTTTTTTTTTTAGTTTGTTCTTATTAAATCTTTTTTTATTTAATTTATTTTGATTTCTTAAACTTATTTGAATTAATTTTTTTATTTTTTTATATTATTTAATTTTATTTTTATTCTATATTATTTTGTTTTGGTTTATTTTGTTAAATGTTTATTATTTTTTTGGTTTTATATTAATATATTCTATTTTATTTTTCCTTAATTTTATTTGAATTCTTATATCTTGTGCTATTTTTTCCATTTCCTCTTATTATATTTTAGGTAATACTATTTTGAATTTATGTTTAAAAATTTTTTTATACATAGTTTTTTGTTTTATTTTATTTTGTGTTAATTTATTTTATTTCTTTTTTAGGTATTTTTATTAAATCTTTTTTTTTTATTTATTTAATTTAATTCTCTTTATTTTAATTTAGTTAATTTTGTTTTCATTTTTTTATGTTTTTTATATTTTTTTTAATATATTATTTTATATTATTTTGTCTCAATTAATTTTGTTCAATTTTTATTATTTTTTTAATGTATTCTATGTTATTTTAATCTATTTTATTTTATTTCATTTTATTTTTTTTTATTTTGTTTGCCCTTTGTTTCGTTTTATTTCTTTATATTTTGTGCAATTTTTTCCGTTTCCTTTCATTTTATTTTTTTTTTTTAATTATGTATTCCTTTACTTTATTTATTTCTTTATGGTTTGTGTAATTTTTTATTATCTTTTATTTAATACTATTTTTTATTTTCCAATTACTTTTTTTTATTTGAATTTATCGTTCTTTATTTATATTTATTTATAACTCATTGTTTTATTTTATTTTAATGTTTATTTTATTTTTTTAATTAATTTTATATAAAAGTATTATTTTGTATCCCATTATGTCATTTAAATGAGAAATATTAATTTAATCACATATTTTATTTGTCCATTGCTATTTTACAAATAACTTAAAATCCTCGTGCAAAAATTCTTCAACCCTTTATACGTGCAAATCACTTTTGCCTTTGCATGCTTTATAGTCATAATTCAATTTAGGCCACGAGCCATACCAAACCAATTATAGGGCAAAAAAATCGAATAATTGAGCAGTAGAATGAATATTACGAACTAAATGAACTTAGCCGTGCACGCGCCCACATAGCATTCATGTGTTAATATACCGCAACCATACACATATGTACATATATAAGTACCCGCTCCCAATTTTCCAATTTGTAGTACAGTAATAAACACAGCAATTACTTACCAAAATTGCTCACACCTATACCGTGAATAAGTATAAGTTGCCGTTGTGTGTGTTTCGTGCCTGGCAAACGAAAAGTGCCGGCTCATCGAAAAATTTTTGCCTGCCGAATCAGGCAACGGAAGTTGTTAACAAAAATGGATTTAGCAGGCAAGTTGATAGAGATAGTAGGCGCACATGCAAAAGTTAGTAGTGTGGTGAATATGAGAGCATAACTTTCTGATTATTTGTGGCTTGGTAAAATTATCTTCGATAATTTTGGTAATATATTAGGAAAATCTGTACATATGCAAAAATTTATACAAAAAATACTGCTGGCTAATGGAGGCCTTCATAGCTTACTAACTTGGGCAACATCAAGAGCTACGCTAAATTCCAGTAGAATTTTAGCTTAGAATTATTGACACATTATAGCTGCAGTAAACAGTCATGAGCAATTTTTGTTTAAAAGACAATACTTTCACACTTTGATGCCTTTATGCAATGTTAGCAAAGGATATTCAAAAACTACTGGCTTTGCTATGAACGCGTCGATACCTATAAGCAGTTCTCTATTTTAGCTCAAAGATTCTATGAAGAGCGTGAAGGCCACTCAAATTTTTAATTATCATCAACGTCAGCAACACTGCAACAACAGCAATCGGAAATGAGCACAACTGCTGAAGTGGCAACATAAGTATGTGCGTACTTATTTGCTGATGTTGCTGCTGTGACAAACGCTAAAGCATAGTGAAAGTAATTATGTCTATACTATATATTTAATTTCAAATGCCTGAGGCTTGATTGGTACATTAACGAAGTATTCGCAAAATATCTTGCTTCGTACACTGTACTAACTGTTAACCAGGTTTTTAGTTTTTTTTATTCTAATACATTTAATTTAATTTCATTTAATTTAGTTTTGTTTTATTTAACTTGGCTTTATTTCAATTTATGTTATCCTCATTCATTTGATTCGACTTTATTTATTTTTATTAAATTACTTTAGTTTAATTTAATTGGATCTCATTTAAATTTTAATATTACTGAATTAAACTTTACTTTTAATTTTATTTTTAATCTTAATTTATTTTGTTCACTTTGCTTATTATATAACATTTCATTTTATTTTAGTCTTTTTATTTACCCTTATGTTATTAAAGTTAAATTAATTTCGTTTAATTTATTTTAACATAAATATTTTAATTATACCATATAATTTGTTTTAATTTAATATAATTTGATTTAGAGTAGTAAACTTTAAGGGGGAAGCTGAACTTTGAAAAAATCGAAAAAAAAATTTAACTTAAAATGTGCTTTAGGGTCTTAGAAATATCATACCGAAAGATGGCTGCCGACAAGAATGTCTAAATGCACAAATTTTTCATTCGACGTCAGTGCCTCGCGACCTACAACTTTAACCGCGTTTTTCTCGAAATCACTTTTTTTAAACTGACAGGAGACACAACTTGAACGAATCTTCACCGATCTTAGGAAATTTTGACAGTACATTCGAAATATCGTTCTCCGAAGACGTACGTAGGATTTTTTTATATTACATAGTTTTTTTAATCAACAATTTTATTTCGTTTTTTATAGTGAAAATTGTATCTTTTTGGTCAAACTTGGACCATTTCGCGAAAAAACAAAATTTCGAAAAAACCCTGCGTAGGTTTCTTGCTGTTGTTATATAGAAACTAAAAAAAAAAAAATTATTTTTTGATCCAGGACAAAAATTAAGGAGTCCCATTAGATAAAATGCGTCTTCGGAGAAATGCTGGACAGCGGTCGTTTTGAAATTAATCCACACGAAAAATTTTGTATTTGTACCACGAAACTTAAATTCATAAAATATGCCCATTTTTTGCGCTCTAGACCAGCTTCCGCCCTTAATTAATTTATACCGTTTTTTCAATTTTAATGTATTTTAAGATAACATAATTTTAATCTATTCTATTTTTATTTTTCAGTTATTTTTTTGTATTAAAATTTCTATTCTACCATTTTATTTCATTTTTTTTTGTTAGTCTTTTTTTTATTTTATTTTATTTGTTTTATTTGATGTCATTTGATTTTATTTGACTTTACTTTACTATATTTATAATTATTTTATTTTATTCTATTTTATTTAATTTATATCATTATGTTTTAATTTTTTTTATATCATATTATTTTATTTTTATTTTTTTTTTGGTTTGTTTTATTTTCTCTCAATTTATTTTATTTTATTTTTATTATATTTTTTTATATTACTTGATATTAAATTGTTTTTATATTTCTTTTTTATTTTATTTTATTTTTAATATTATATTATAATTTTTTGTTTTATTTTAAATTTTTTTAATTTATTTTAAAATAATTAATATAATTTACTGTTATTTTGTTTAGTTTTTTATTTAATTTTTTTTTTATATTTATTTACATTTATTAAATTTTTTTTAATTTATTTAATTTTATCTTAAATAATTTTATTTAATTTTATACCAAATTTTTTTTTTTTAATTTTTTTTTTATTTCGTTTAATTTTTTTTCGGTTAAATTATAATACATTACTTCATTTTAATTTGTTGAATTTTAATGTAATTTATTTTAATTTAATGCATTTTTTAATTTAATTGAATTGAATTTTACTTTCAATTTTGTTTTAATTTAATTTAATTTAGTTTGGTTATGTTAAATTAATTTATATTAATTTTAGGTTTTTGATGTAGCTTAATGTAATTTAATATTTTTTATTTTATTTTTATTTTTTATTTTATTGTAATAAAATTTTTTTTCTTTTCTATAGAAATTCTGCATATGTATGAATTTTTGTATATAAACACTACAACCTCTACGCGTATCCATGGCAGCAGATTATGTGGATATAAGCCTTAAACATGTCCATTGCATGCAAGGAATTATGTAGAAAATGTCAGTCAATATGCGGAATACAATATCAAAACTAAACAAAAAATTCCCTCAATATGCATCGAAGTAGGCAATCGCGCAGACACGTTCGAGTATGTACGCTCATCTATGTATCTACATACATACGTGCGAAACGTTGCATGCCATGAGCACAATGCGAGCTCCAATCAAGCATCTCTGATAGTTTTGAAGGACATTGTAATTGCGGTCAAAAGTGACTTTTTTAATCCAAGCAATAAAAAAATATATATATTTATTTTATATATTGTGAGTGATACAATGAAATGGTTGATATTACTATATGTATGACGTTACTGAGTTTGTGTGTGATTTTGTAAAGGCCAAGGATGTTCTTGCGCAGGATACAGCATTCACTAATATGACGGACATAAGAGTGAATAGGAAATGAAAAAAAGGAAAAATGGTCAAGAATAACTGTATTCATCGATAAGTAAAGTGGACGTTAGTGTATGCATCCATGTATGTGTGAGTCCTTTTCAGGCCTATGATTTTGCAAAATGAAATATTTATAAACGCTATTCCTTTCATTTATTTCGCTTGTTGGTCTTTTTCTACTTAAGATGGCTTTGAAGTCGCATTCAATACCTTTTAAATAAATGTCATTATATGTAGCTTCCAGAGTGTTGATATCTTCACTTTATTAAGATTTATTTCTCTTAAATAAAATTAAATGAAAACAAATTTTTAGGGCACAGGTTGTCATCATGTTCAAAGGATGTTCGTTATATTTCAGAGAAATGCAAACAACAAATTTCATTTCTAAAAATTTATTTTTATTTTCAGGATTCAAAACTGCGCCAAATTGTAACGCTTGGATCTCAGGACACATTGGAGGAAAAAACTGTTACCATTTGTCATGGTTGTGATTTCGTAAATGTTACATTTGTGAATTTCTGCTGCACGAAAAGAGAGATTGCACAGGTAACTTTAACTTTAATTAAAGTAAAATAAAACAACAGAATACCATTCAAAAACTTGAAAACCAATTTTAAATATTTTGGCTTATTTAAATATTCTATGAGTATGAGCAAAGATGGTCGATATCCTTGATCTATTTTAATGTAATTGGAAAAAGCTAACTTAAAACTCACGAGACTCCCCCAATTCTCTTTACTATTTCATTAATCCCCACTGTCACTCACTAAGACACATTTATATACTTTTCATTCTTACAGTCTTATACTACTTAAAAGCCTTTTTACTCTTACCTTTCCCCCGCACTCATTTACTGAAGAGAGGCAACAATTATCGTCTATTATTTGACAATTGACCAAAATCGGATTGCTAAATGTCCAAAAGTTCGTATGTTGCCAAAAGTTGTTAGCCAAATACCAAACTTTGTCCAAATCACTGCTAAATTGCCCGAAAAGCCCACCAACCAACCGACCAACCGACCATATGTTTATTTTGCCCTTTGGCAATGAGCCAAGTAAGTCTTTGGTATTAAGTTTTATTCACTTCAAATTTTTATTCAACGATGTATGTATGTCCCGATGCTATGCCGTTGTCAGCGTCTTTTAATGATACAGGTACCATGACAATGAAATAAAAAATTAAATGTGAACCAATAAACTAAAACTTAATTGAATTATATAATAATAAAATGAACAAAAATGTCAATATTATTATCACAATATTGTATCAATATATAAGAGAAATAAATATTAACTTTTAAATATAAAAGAATTAAATAAAAATAAAACAAAATATAAAAATGAAATAAAATAAAGTTACAACAAATCAAATGAAATCACAATCACAATCAGAATCTCAATCAAAATCACAATTACAATCACAATCGCAATCAAATCAAATGCTTAGAAACCATATAAATTTTTTTTCCAAGTACAAAAGTTAATTTAGTTTAATTCAATATATAAAGTAAAATAAAAAAAATCTTAAAATAAAATAAAATAGAGAAGTAAACAAAATAGTCTCGCGTTGATCTGTCGCCCAGCTCCATTTAGCTGTTTTTGGGCGAGTTTGGTATTACTGCTCTAACCACTACTTTGAATAAATTTAAATAAATAAAAAATTGAATAAAATGAAATGAGACTATATTCAATGGAAAAGGGTAAAATCTAAAGTAAATAAAATTAAGTAAAATCAAATAAATACAAAAGTTGAGATTAATTAAGGCTTTTGTTCTTGACTTAGCCAGATATTGCTGTTTTCCTCAGTTTCACTGGAAAAATCATAAAAAATATTAATATTTTTGACTAATATATTAAAATCTCTTAAGCGAGCGCTTTTTAACAGAATTTACAATTTAATATCTGTGTGTATATCTACAGCTTTCTACTTAAGCATTCAGAGCAGACGGCAACTAATATGAACAACAGGTGCAAGAGATATTTCCATTTCAAATTTCAAATTACTTTCCACTTACACCAGATATAATGTATATGCATTCGTCTGATTATTTCGCAATTTCGGTAACAAAAAAAATTTTAAATTTGTTGGCACTGCTTACGTGATACTTTTACCATGAAATTTTGTCTGCACTTTTTACAAATAAATATATTTTTTTTATTGCTTACGAGTACAATGACTTACTAATAGTTCAATTCGATATTTTTTTGATAGGTTTTGCGATAGTCTTACAGTATTTAGCGACTAAAAGAGCAATAACTTTTGTTGTTATTAAAAAAGCACAAGGCATATACGTAACTTTTTATGTGAAGTTAAATTCATATAGAAGCTAATTTTTTATATAAATATTTATTTTTAGTTGATATCTTTAAGTTTACGTACCAGTAAATAATTATATTCAGTGTTTATTGAGTCACTCAGTAATACAATATTTGGATATGCCACGTCGTATGATGAACATTTCTCAATAAAATCCTCTGTTCATATGAACACATAATGAAGTGTTTATTGAGCTGCTTTGGGTTACCCCAGATTGCACTAGGTTAAAAAAAAAATTATTTTCATGAAAATTTTTCTGTATTCATCATTTGTGTTTTAAGCAGAAGTAGAGCAAATTATAGACGATTTTCTGCTGTGACTTTTTTGGTAGAGTAGCTTATAGCAAGCAATAAAACTAAGGAATCTTTACACAAAGCAGCAAACAAGTTAAGTACAAAGCAGTTATAGTTAGTTTACAAGCTCAGGTTAATTAATTTCTCTTTTCAATATTTCATTTTTATTATATATTTATATATACATATATTTTTATTTTAAATTCAATGCGGAAAAATTTAAATATTAGAATTTTTTTTACTGCTTTGCATATTTTTCAAGTGAAAGCTTGATAGCTGGGTGACGGAGAAATAGCATACATGTATATTGACTTCTAGAACTCAGGCAACCAAAATAAGAAAGACGCTAAACACTCTTTTTTGTAAAAATAAATAAAACTGAGCGTTGGGGATCAGGCAGATATGCTCTGATCACGTCTTAAATATCTAGAGCATAGCTTATCAGAGGACAGAAAGAAGTTTTAAACAGGGATATCAGAAATTAAAGATTCCCCTTGATTAAATATTAATCTCTATCTGGTGGTGCAATAGGTGGATGTAAGTGGTAGCTAGTGTAACCTAGTCTCTGGTTTCGGTTCATGGCGAGAGTGTCAGCTGAAAATTATAAATTTTTTCTGTCGGATTTTACTAACATTTTTATAAACACAAACAATTTTTTTATTTCGCTGATGAACAAGACTTCGTATTACTACCTTTTAGTGCGATTTATTATTATTATATATTAACAAATAATTTTAAAGGATTACAATTTGTATTGTGCGCGCAAATGACTATTACTATTCCAATGAACTTTCCTTTCTTCTAGGCAATTGACATATTTTAATTTACATTTCTGACGTTTTCATGGAATTTTTCTCAATATCTCACATTTTTTATTGTCAATATTTTTGTACTCATGTTGTTGCAGCAATGGTGTGATGGCATTATGCGTTTGGCTTACAGTTTAGCCAGACTGAATGGGTCAGCTAGCATTTTTCTACAGAAGGCGCATACCAAGCTGTGTCTGCAGGTTGACAAGAGTGGCAAAATTCCAGTAAAGAAGTGAGTAAAAAAACATTTTTTTTATTGTTATTGCTTTCAACGTGAAGTAAAGTCACAAATCAATTACTTATGTATTTCACATTCCTTTCATTTCATTATGAAGACAAATGCATGCATATCGCAGAGTCATTTTTCATTTCACTTTCGATTTATCCTTCTTACTTTTTCACCGTTTTTACTCAATCCTTTCATTCATTATGAATTCATTTTTCATTTGTTTACTTTATTTACGCTTGCACAAATATTCATACTGTCAGGAATACATACAATACATACATATGTATGAATATAAAATAGTTTACCTTTTGTGCATCTTTCGCTTGCAGCATCATCAAAATGTTCGCACAGAATAAGGAGGATCGGAAACGCGTGGAGAAGGCCTTGGACATGAGTGGCTTACCGTCGGGGAAAATTGAGACTTTGTCCTTGCCGAAATTTCACTTTGAGGATTTTTTCAATTTATACAAGAATTTAACGCAACGCAGTGAGGTGGAGAGGATATTCGATGGCATGTAAGTACTTAACGGTAATTTGGTGTCACAATGACCTATTCGAAGTAGACAGATACACGCATATTGAGAGGTGTATTCGATAAGAAAAAATAAAAATAAAGGAAACTATTTTACTATTCACGGCAAGAAGGGCTAAATTTTTTATTTAAAATAAAAATTGAAACTATTTAATATATTTTACCGCAAACTTTAAGAATAGCAAAAAAAATTTTATATATTTATTTTTTTTGGTTATCTTTTTCTTTCTCTTAGTGTTGGCAATTCAAAACGCAAATGTATGTGCGTGGCCCAGTTAGTGGAGTTTCTCAATAAAACACAGCGCGATCCACGTTTAAATGAGATTTTATATCCTTATGCGAACGCAGCACGAGCCAAAGAGATTATACAAGAGTATGAGCCGAATAAATTCAATGCGCAGAAAAACCAGCTAAGTTTAGACGGTTTTCTAAGGTAAGTGCGTATTCATATAATTTACCCAATCTGCTTTGTTTTAAATTATATCATTTGGTTTTGATTCCATTCTGTTTTATTTAATTTTAATTAATTCAATATAGTTTAATCTTCTTTTTTTCGTTTTTTTATTTTGTATTATTTCGTAAAATATTATTTTATTTCAACTTATCTTCCTCTATTTTATTTATCCAATACATTTTTTTGCATTACTTCTTTTTTTACTTTATTTTACTTTCTTTAATTTTGTTATTTTTATTTTATTGCGTTTTATTTCAGTCCATTTTACTTTATTTTTTTCTTTATTCTATTTTATTTTATTTTGTTTGATTTTATTTTATTTTATATGGTTTTATTTCATTTGATTTTTTCTATTTTATATTTTATATGTTATTTTATTTCGTTTCATCTTATTTTCCTTTATTTTATTTTGTTTTATCTCTTTTTGTTTTATTTTATTTTAATTCAATTTATTTTATTTGTTTAATTTTATTTTATTTTATGTTTTTTATTCTATTTTATTTTATTTTATTTTATTTTATTTTATTTTATTTTATTTTATTTTATTTTATTTTATTTTATTTTATTTTATTTTATTTTATTTAATTTTATTTTTTTTATTATTTTTTTTTGTTTTATCTATTTTTTTACTTTATTTCATTTTACTTTTACTTTTTATCATTTGTTTTCATTTATTTATTTTTTTCTTATTTATTTTTTATGTCTTACTTAATGTTTTTCTATTAAATTAAATTTATTTTTTTTTATCTTATATCTTTCATATTTTGTAGATTGATTCTATTATATATTATCTTATTGCATTTATTTCTAATTAGTCATTTAATATTTTATTATCGTCCAATTTATAGTTTGATATATTAAAGGCACTGGCTCGTAAAAATGATCAATTATGTTATATTGGAATATTAATCTATATGATATTCCTCAGGTACTTAATGTCTGATGACAATCCCATTGTGGCGCCGAGTAAACTAGATTTATGCGATGACATGGATCAGCCATTATCACATTATTTTGTTAACTCATCGCACAATACCTATTTAATAGGACATCAATTGACAGGCAAATCGTCGGTGGAGATTTATCGTCAATGCCTGTTAGCCGGATGTAGGTGAGTTTCAAAATTAATGCAAAGACGCTGTCAAATATAATACTATTTTTAAATTTTGATAGATATTACATATGTACTTATACATTTGTATGAATATACATATAAATTACACACATGAAATATGGATTCATAAACCACAACATCGCTGGTTGAGAGCAATGGTTTACATATTATACATTTAGAGATAAATCATTGTCCATGTAATCAATATATAATTCATGTATGTAATGTGCTTGTATATTTAGGTATACACTAGCGCATATAACAATAATAACATTTGTCATTGGTAAATAAATATTATATGCGGTACCCTCAGCAAATGACATTGAATTATTGCAGCGTTTTGGAGAAGAGAGCAGACGTTATTAGATAATAGAAAGTTCGACGTATTGAATTATTTATTTACTTATTTAATTTCTGACCTTGTGATTTGCTTTTCATCCACTTGAATTCTTCAATGATTCACAATGGTCTGATTACCTTGACTTCAGTCAGAGCTAGTGAATTTACACCGTGAGAGGTAGTCTTTTGTTAAAATATTATACGTATGAGGCTTGCGACAAGTCAAATTTCGATCTCCGTTCAGTGAAACTTGTCTATATAAATATTTTTTAAAAGGAAAATCTATCTTTATTGCAAAGCAAGGTTATCTGCCTTGCAGTGTTGCAAAGCAAAGCTATCTGCTTACGAGTGTGTGGTTCAGTTCAACTGTGAGAGCCTTACGGCAATCTGGCACGGCTTTGCAATGTCTTCATAGAGCTTTTATTGCTGTCGGACCGTCACAAAAAAAAAAAAATTTTGTGACGATGTCTTCGATCACCCCCATAATATTGTAAATGGAGTAAGCCAGCAACCTTCAAGAAAGTTTGAATTTGGAAATTCAAAAGAAGTGTGGTCATCATTTTTGAGCAGCTTTTGCAGATTTCTGCAGCTGTCTTACAGGGGATATAAAATTTTGTCATGTTTCTTTGTTATTTAGTCGGTGCCAACGGTGGTAACTCTTAAATATTTTAGAATATCCATAATCTTGGTTTAGTCCACTTTTCCAATATATAAAGATGTTGCGTAGCTGCTGCCTGATATTTTGCCAAATCGAGTGGTAGAGTATTGAGTTTAATACTATTTCTAAATAACTACTGAGTCTTATCGAAACATTAATGCTGTTACTTACGCTTTCTGAGTGTGATTAATTGAGGAAGTGAAACTCCATCGACTCTTTCTCTAGCTTCATCGCTTCAACAACTGCGATAAAAATCATTAAAAGCATAATCCATCCTCCTAACATGAGCCTATATATTTAGCTCAGGGATAAGTTAGAGTCACGCCACGTTCAATGTGGTTTCCTTGTTACTGATCATGTTGGTGAAGGCTGATTTCAACAAATGTGCACTGGAAAGTCCCATAGAATATATCTGTCTGAAAGTCTGCAAAGATAATTGGTTTAACAAACAGCTCTTTTGTAGGCTTAAATAGAGAAAACAGTCATTACAATCCAACTCGTTTTGCAAACACTCTCAGGAAGATGAAGTTATATATTCTCTCATTAGGTGATATCATTCCCCATTTTTAGCCACGACTTGACTTCGAGACCGATTAATTTATAAAATAAAACTTTGTAGAAGTGGATCCTACCTTTTACGATTATTAGAAAGACCCGCACTAAAAAGAACTTAAATTGTACGAAGTTTACAACATTATTTATTGGAAATGTAAGTGAGTAGATGACAACGGATAGGGTGATGATGCTATGAACGCTAAGAATGCAATTATAAGTACTTACCAGATCGCAATCTTAAATATTATATAATCTGCAGGGAATCTCATCTCCGTATGACAAAAAGTGCGTACAGGAAAACACCACAATTCCTAATCGACTAAGTTGACTGCAACAACATTGGTTTGGGAATTAAAAGTGTCTACTTTGGTGACGTAATTAAGAAGAGTTTGAGTTTTCTTTATTTAGAGTTTTTGAATGTTTCGCTAACGAATTTTTGTAATCACGAAAGTCACTCGTGACTATTGTAGTTTTCGAATATTTTTTTAAGTATATTTTTTTTTAGCGACCTACCTTCTATAAAAATTTACTCTCTGTATGAATTGGGCATTTATTTTAATTATTAATAACCACAAATAATAACATTTTAATATTTTTCTTCTTAATTACAGATGCGTAGAATTGGATTTCTGGAATGGTCGCACTGATGAGCCCGTCATTGTGCATGGCTACACACTCGTTCCGGAAATCAATGCGAGGGATGCACTGGAGGCAATCGCTGAGACCGCATTTAAAACATCGGAATTTCCTGTGATATTAAGTTTTGAAAATCATTGCAATCCAAGGCAGCAGGTAAGTGTATGCCTAAATATAAAAAAATAATGTGATATACATGTAAGCGCCTATGTGTTTGTGAGTGCGCATAAATTAAAAATTGAGTGTTGGCAAAAATTCATAACATCCATAATACTTGAAAGTTTTTTTTATATTAGAACAATTAAAAGTATTTCAGGAAAAAGATGGTTTATGTAATTATGTATCTCTCAGTTATGGATTTTGAAAGTATTGCGATACAATTACTACAAATTATTAGGCCTTGCAGATTGAAATATAGTGGCACTTATGTCCTCTTAAGATCATTTAATAGGTTTCATTACAATATTTTGCTAAATCAATTCATTCTGTGCCATTTTATTGGCTATAGAAAAGCAAAATACATCTTTTAGCTTTCGGAAAACGTAAATAGAATAATTTAATAAGCGAAGTCGGTTTTAGCAAGTGTTTGGTTAAAAAAATTTATATGAAATAAAAATATTTTTTTAGATACAAAATTGTTATACAAATTCTAATTTAAGAGAAATAAATCAAGATTCCAGGAATAAAATTGAGAACCTGAAAATCCGTTCGGAAGAATGTTAAAAAGTTGTTGACACATTCTTAAACTTAATTTATTCTTCTATAATTCCATTTATTCAATTTTTTATTTAAATCATTCTACCCTTTCTGAAGTTCAAATGAAAGTGCTGGCCCAGGTGTTTCTTTTCTCCACACAAAAATCAAGACATCTTTACCATAAATACGTATATATGTATGTATATATTTTTTGCATTCGTATTAGTAGAAATGTAAATGTGGCATTTACAAATAAATTGCAACACTTACAACATTCTTTGCCTACGCTAAGGAATGAATAATGCTGTAATTCAGTAAAAGTGTCTGAGCATAAAAAATTCCTACCTTTGCGTACTTGTACTGCCTTACCTCACGCTACACCCCTGCTGCACGCCACTTGCCAAAGTATTACGTGGAAAAGTTAAAAGTTGATAAGAACGTCATTACGTCGGTTATTCAATATGGCAAAGTTTGCCCAAAGCAAAGGTGGAATGAATTGATGAAAAAGCGGTGAGTTGAGTGACGAGGGCGGAGGTTTGGGAAAATTGTTGGGTAATGCAAACTTTTTCTTCAAACACGCTTCTGTTAGCAACAATCAAAAGTTTGCACTTACCGCCGTTGTCTCTGCCTTCACTTACAGAGCTTGAAGGTTTGTATATATATACAAGTATGTTTGGTTGTTAAGATGCAAGTTGACAACTTTTAATCAAAGAGTTACCCATGCAAATGCCAGGAATGAATCGAGTTGTAGTTTAGATTGGTAGAGAGAAGAAAAAAATCGATTTCCTAACATACTGTCGGGAGTAGTACAACTATTAAGACATATAAAATTGTTTATAAAGTAAATAGAGGCAGGCATTTTTAACGGCTACATTTATATAAGAGAATGTTTGCCGAGTAACATGCATTACAATACTATTACTCTTCATCGTAATGTTGCTTTCACAACTAAGAGCAAGCTCAGTTTGCATGAAACCGAACATTGGAACATTGGATATGTGCTGCTTCTTCTTCTTCTTTTTAATTTTCATTCCCATTGAGAAGAGAAATTTAAGTATACTCTTCATAAATTCAGTATAATCTGGGTGTCGGTTACTAGATCACCTCTCTTTGTCTTACAAGAGATTGATCCGGTCTTGAAACCTTCCGCAAGTCGTCGTATCTATTCGTATAATTTTCGGGCATTGCTCTTGTCGGCCAACTTCTCAAGCTCTTCATACTTACGCATTTCGGTTTCTTTCTTTTTCTTTGATGCCCTATACCGACAGCTGACGATCCTATTCTTTCCAATGCAGTTCAACATACTCCTTCGTGCCAACTCTTTTTCGGGGATGCCTTTCTATAGTTCCCTTATATTGAGTTGCTGATGAGTGCTCTCACAAAGCAGATATGCAAGATGTGTAAAAAACCTCTACGATATTTCAGTGATTGCACCTTTTCCACGTGGAACCTTTGTTGTGCTTTTAGACGGGCGTTCTTTGATACACAGTGGCATGTGCATATCTTCACTGGACCTCGGAACGTACGCATATGTAAAACACTGGATTGTGACGTAGCCAGGTGGCTTAGTTATTTTCTTCTGCTGGAATTTAGTAGTGAAGACAATCATATTTCGGCTCCGACACAAGTCGACGAGTCTCAACCCATTTGAGGATGTTTCGCCGTAGAGGCTGAATTTTTCTTCAATTGTGCTGAAGATACATTCTTTGCCCACTCTGGCGTTGAAGTCGTCAAGCACAGTAGTGACAATGGGTTCTCTCTCTCTCACCACAGATCCGACACCAGCCTACTTTATATGGCCGCTGTTATATAGTGCCGTCCTTGTCTAAGTTTACTGAAGAACAAAGAAATTTTTCCACATTAGCTTTCTTTATCTCTCTATTAAATAATTAATTGATTTAATGATTTATTTAGTTAAAATCTAATTAGTGCGCTGAAAAAAACAAAAGAAAAAAACAAAGCATTGAAGAAATTGAAGAGTTCAAAAGGAGGAGTTTCGAATGTGAAAGATTTTGTTAAATGAAATTAGATCTAATTAGAATAAAATTGCGAGGCAAAATTTTTCTTAATATATATATAATTATCATGAATATTTCTATATATACATATAATTTATACCACGCTAGAGATACAACATTAATTATCATTCCATTATTCATAAATCAGCAGTAGACCACCGAGCTTCCTTCACTCAATCTAATTTCCTTACAGTAATTTAATTTTCTCGCTCATTCCTACGACATTTGTATATTATAAATGCTAAATAATTTATTCTTGTTATTTTAATTTTATTTTTTCGCTTATTTTTTGTAAATCTTTTCCATTTCCTCCTTTGCAACGGTGAATGTAATTTAGGCTAAAATCGCCAACTACTGCCGTGAGATATTCGGTGACATGTTATTAGATAAACCGCTAGATTCTCATCCGCTAGAGCCTAATGTTGATTTACCGCCACCATCATTACTTAAGCGTAAAATTATCATTAAGAATAAACGAAAACATCATCACCATCATCGGCATAAGAAGGGCGCAACAACAGCAACAGCGGCGGTCAGTAAATTGTCGACAGCGAACTCAGGTGAGTGGATAGATATATCTATGTGAATACATATATATTTTTGTGCGTGAAGTTATGTGTGCTTGTGTATGTGTATGTATATGTATATATAATCACAACAGCATCGCGTAAGCCGCTTAGTATAAAGCCTAACTAAAGCCTTGACAGCTAATTTACAAATCCAACGCCTCAATTTGAATCTAATGACTTTCATTAACTTGCTTTCAAAATGCTCATCATCAAGTACTTATGGACCGATGTACTTAATGACATTTTAACGTTTTTCATTAGCAGAAAAGTTAAAAAATTCATTAGAAATCAAATTATTTTTGTTGCGTATCCGCCGTGCTGTGCCTAAAAGTGAGATCTGGAAAAGTGTTTTTTATTTTCTTTTAAAAAGCGTGCACAACTATATTAAATAAACAAAATAAAAATTATTATTATAAAATATTTGTCTAAAAGCTAACACTGAACAAAATTAATTTCAAAAATTTTTATTGACTAATATATATATCAATCTGATTTAATTGCGAGGTTAGGTTCCTCCAACGAACGCGTTTTTTTTCCAAATAAATTTTACTAAAAAAAAAATATTTAGAAATTAAAGCTTTTAAAATTGCTGCTGAGGGACACGATAACTATGAAACGTTTTTTATTCTGTATCACATTGGCTAAGGCCGGAACTGCAGGAAACGTTTTCACAAAAAAAAAAAATAATAATAATAATGGAGAATTGTTAATGTGTTTACCCTTTTTTTCAAATGTAATTGTAAATAAAATTTTTAAATAACAAGGAATATATTTGGTTGTAGTACCGCCCATAATAATAATAGTAATTTTAGAAGTTTAATGCCATTTAGTTCATGTTGACAAGTTCAATACGTTCCAAATAACAATGCCACCTAGTAGAAAAAAACGTTGTTTCGAGAAAAAGGCGACTAAAACACTCGAGCGGCCGGATTTTCCGCTTGGCGCGCTCCAGTCTCCCCTCTTCTATATTTTTTTCTTGGTCTTGCGGACCTTCGGTACTGATTTCACAACATTTTCAAGAGTATTTTCTAGCAATTTAAGGGGAAGAATAAATTTCGCTTTTTTGCTAATTTTTTTAGAGGAACCTGGCCTTAAAGCCAATTATCCCCAAGGATTCGAGGTTTTTTAAGACTGGGCAACAAACCAGATCAGCCTGGGATTAATTAACATTTTACTAAAATAAAGCCGCAATTGGTTTTCAAAAGTTAGTTAGCATATTTTTTATGGCCTTCTAAAATTTACATGTGCTGATGCTAATTGTTTTCTAAAAAGTGAAAATATAGTACAATGTATATGCAATGTTAACCCATTTGCTCCCAAAAAAGTGACGTTTTGAGCTTTTTTTTTAAACAATTTATTTAAAAATCCTTTGGAATTTCATTAGAAGACTCTTAGTAACTTTTTGTATAATTTCACTAGAAATCTTCTTAGACAAAATATTTATATAAAGTTTTTTATAAGGTGTCTCAAAAATAAAAATAAAAACTTCCCCCTAGTTTTTTTTAAAGTGAATAAAAATTTGACTGAAATATTTTCGTATTGCTCTTAAAGGTTTTAAAGTTAAGAAGGTCTCTTATTTATGTTTAGTTAGATTGGAGTGGATATCAGAGTGAAGCATCGGTCACTAAGCTAGACTATCCATCCAGTTCGAATTCTTTATAATCCCATACTGCGGAATCCAGCTCTGTTCAATTAATAGATGATATACCAATTTTTCTTAGTCGTTTTACTGGCAGCTTTTCATCTCCTAAACGACATTCCTAAGCTTGCTGCATACCATTCTAACAAGTAGTTGTCTATTATTTTGAAAGAGTATATTTCGGCGAAAATCAATGGTAAAATATTTTAATAGCTGTTTTCACGTAGCGAAATGCATAACAAGGCGTACTTTTTTGGAAGGAGGTTGTATAGTCATACGTTGCCTGGCAAGTGTATTTTCCCCACAATATCGGTCTACATTCCTGTAACAAGGAACCCACATGAGATATAATCTCTAGACTAGCAATTATTGAGTTTATTGTGAGCGAATCAATCGGTGTCTGAATATTGCTGGAAATGACGATATCGTTGCTTGAAATCACAGTTTCAATGGTAACTGCTGCCTTCACGATGGCCGAAATTTCCGCTTTAAATAAATTGCAATCATTGGTAAGCCTAAAAAATTAACTGAAAAGGCAAGTTCCTTGAGCCAACAACTTCGCCAACTATTTAATCTAGTTTCTATACTTCTCTATATATTGTATCTCAATACTCTCGACTAGACATCTAGTATTTTCGGGTGTCCGAATCATTGAATGTTCCACTAATTAAACTTGGTTAGACGAAGATAAAATATTAACATTTGTGACTTTGTTTAACCCAGTTCATCACACAGCCACCCCATATAATAAAAGTAGCATCACAACTGGTTTATACATCCAGTATAGTTCTTAGAAAAACCACATTTCTTACCAAAAGCTGTTTTTCATGTGTAGAGGGGGATGGAATATCCACTCTTGACTTTCCAGTTCAGATTTTCTTTGGGGACTACGCACAGAAAAATTACGTTGTTTCCTAGACTTAGATCAACAACATTTAGAGTTTTTTTTCAGTATTTTACACCTCTTAGTGAATAGAATGAGTCCTATTTATTTGAGTTGAAGTCGTACTTAACTAAATGTTTAACGTTTGTCTCTTAATTAAATGTATGTTAAAAAAAGTACGAAGGTGTTTGCTATTTTCGTCTCAAAAATACATCCTTGAGATAAATCTCCGATTTTTTAGATAGAATAGGTAGGTAGGAGTGCTGGCCTAAAAAGCCATTTTACTGTACTATCCTTATACAATAATATGCTTGTATCACATTTCCTCGTTACTAGTACTCTCAATGCTTTTTTGTGGATGGCCATAGAGCAAATGCATAATTGCACAACTTTCAGACAATTGAATCTACGCACCGATTTTAGCCGTCCAAGGGTTGTCAACTGTTATCGAGCTCTTATTTTCAGCTTAAACGACGATTGTTATTAGGCAGACATTTTTTTTAAGCATGCTCTCCGAAGAACCAGTGACCCGTCAATGCGGCTGTAGAGCTATGCATACTTTTTCTTGATCTTTTAAATATGTTTTTCTATTATTCTTTGGCCAAATCGGCTTCTTTATCTTATATTTAGCCAGCGATTTCCATCAATTCAGTGCTATTAGTTCCAGTTAAAAGAGGGTCTGCAAATATCTTGACGGGGCTCCTGACTTGTCAGTTTTTCTGTTATTGAAAATGTTTTTATTGATGGGAAGGCAGATATGGAGATCTCGAGTTAAACTACCTTCCTTCCTATAATCGTTAACAATGCTTAAATTCACCATTGGTGATGATAATGCATGTATACAAATATAGTAACAGTTTTTGTATTCTCTTGTAGTTATTCATTTGAGCTCTACATGCCTTTTCTAAGCCCAGCATTTCCACCTGGGATATGGAAGTTAAGTTTGGTAGGCATATAAAAAGAGAATTTCTAATTCTTCGGAGCATACCCTCGCATCCACCGTGCAACCCTTTTTGAATCTATCGGAGTAAATTACAATGGTATCCTCCTCGTCTAAGAAACATCATTTTTATTCACTAGAGGTCATACTCACCAGGAAACAACTATTGAAATCCAACTCTGGAAGCATATAGCGCAACTTAACTAAAGGTGTTGATGGAGGAGTCATAACTTAATAACTGATGCAATCGCTGCACAGGTTTATTTAATTGCCTAAAATTATACGTTTTCTGTGATGCTAATCACCAAACCTAGGCTTAGATGATTTTGCGTCTTGATGTCGTTCCAACAAATAGAGGGCCCTACAGTTTATACTAATCCGCCTCCGAACGGCTAACGGTTTTTTATGAGGAGCTTTACTTCATGTCCGAAATACACTCGGAGGGGTTGGTCCTTACCTGCCAAGGACCGACTGCAATTAGAAAATTTAATTTAATTGTTTTATTTAAATTAATTTTCCATAATTTTTGGATTATGGTCGTACCAAGATTTTAACCCGAGCTTTCCGAATGGCAGTACGGAATGCTAATCACTCCACTACCGCGTTCGCCATGTTAGAAGTGGTTTAATAAAGGTTTGGCTTTAGGCCCCAGTTCATGCTAAATGTTCTCTTGTAAGTGTAGTAGTGTTTTCTTTTGTCTACCGGCTTAGTTTAGCATCAAACTCATCTTCCAGATATTTTTTTGTGTAGGACACAAATGAAGTTTAGTTCAATTGAGTTTAGGAAGCTGAAATTGTGGTACTTAAATTTTTGTTTTTGAATAGCATCTGATCCGCCTTACATTTCTTCGTTGTTTTCAGTCTATGAGTGAAATATTTGTAAGTTTCTCTGCATAATCTTACTGATTGTTAAAGGAAGCTGCCTTGATACCTATAACAGGAGGTGGTCTGTAGAGCAAGTGGTAGCCCTTCTCCTCCGCGCGCAAAATCTTTTGAAATATTCAAATCTCAAGAAAAACATATTTGGAAAATATACAAAATTCGATTTTCTAAAATCACAATTGTCTGTTTACACTCATTTGCATTTTCAGTTGATGCATCTAGCAAAGTGTCAGTAAACCATGCTGCCGCCGCCGCCACCACACCATCTGCCATACAACAACAAGCCTCTGTCCAGGGTGAAAATGCAACAGCTGCTGGCGGCGGGTCAGTTTTATCGACACCGGTGATGACGGGCAATGGAGACATTAGCAATACAATATATCCGCCACCATTGCAGGTAAGCAGTGAATTTTTATTTAGTTTACGTTTGTAGATATATAAATTTCAAATATATATTCTTATCTTTAGTAAAATATGGTAGTATTAAAATTTATATTTTACGAACCCTTTTCGTTTAAAATTTCCATATTTCGGCTTTATTGAGTTGAAAATAAAACTCAATTTTATACCTTAATGTATTATATTATTTTATTTTTTGAATATTTTTTTTATTATACAATAAAAAATTTGTTTTTTTTTTTTTTAATTTTTGCTCGAAATTCCTTTTATTTTAATAGGTTTATTAAAATGTATTCTGCCTTTTTTTAGCAAATTCGTCAAAGCTCCAAGGATAGCACCGGCTCTTCAGATACCGACAGTTCGAGCGATGATGAATCTATGCCAAATGCCACACCCAATCCGCCAGTTGGCGCTGATCCAACTGCAGAGAAGCCGCAAAAGGAAACTGAAGCAGCAGCTGAACTCTCAGCGCTGGTCAATTATGTGGAACCGGTGCATTTCTATACATTCGAAAGTGCCGAAAGTAAGTAGAAAATTTTGTTAAACTATTGTGAGTTCAAAGGAACAGAAATATGGTTAAGAAATGGAAAAGTCTCGTGCCTAACATGGAAAGCGTAATTTTTAATTAAGAGCCACACAGGCATATCGGTGCCGCTCTAACATTTCAATATCACTTCGGTAGAGCGATTGCCCAAAATGGGTTTTAGTTTCAACCCATGAGCAATTTTTTCATTTATGCGTATAGCCAGTGAAGCCGAATCTGATTAATGCGGTAGATGTGAAAGCAGTTTTTTGCCATAAGCTGTCCTTTCTTTGTAATAATGGTCCTCTTATACTCCAACAATACTATATATAGGGTTGTCCAACGTTTTAAAAACCAATTCAGGTTAGATCTCACATAATCAATCCAACGAAAATATGAAGCAATGATTTCAAACCTTACCCAGTGACACAATTCAAGTCAGCTTTGCGAAACATCATACAGGACTTAGCTCAAGCCCAAAACATATGTTCATGAGCAAATAATGAGCGTACTTAGTTTTTGTATCTGGAATTGAGAAAATTTTAAGCAGATTATGTCATTTTTGGTATGCTCCTATCTGAAACATATCTGGCTGATAAACGAAATTTTTATATACCAAATGTATGGAAAAATCCCCTAAAATTAATTATAGCCAGACCAGTTGAAGATCTCATACAGGCGTCTTCTTACAGACCAATAAACCTACTCCAAATTATTAGAAATAATTCTGCTATCTAAGATATCTCCTTCTCCTCATCATAACAAAGTGATAACTGAACACCAATACGGGCTTCTTGAAAAACACTGTGAGCAGCTCGATACTCGTGAATTGCTCAACTGCTCAAAAGACAATTTAATTTATTTCAAATTTTAATTTTCTGTTTATCAAAATTTATTTAATATTTCAATGAGTTTACCAATTTTCATAAATAAAATGAAAATTATAGAAGAAAGTTCGGGGAAAAAGTCAAATTTTTTATACAAAATTCTCGAAAAAGTTCAAATCTGTCGAGGTAGAGCTCGAAAATGTTCAAACAAAATACTCTACGAGGTGTGACATAAGGGTCCATTGCTCACAATTTATAAAACTTTGCCTATACAATTCCAAAAAATATTTTATTCATATCTGTCTAACAGTTATTTACTGTGAAACAAAGGGTAACACAGACATCCCGTAAACCGAAAAGTTCAAACAGCCTTAGAAAAACAGCGGACCCGATTGGTGACTATTTACTTCTCACTGGAGAATTAAAGTCAATTAGCAAAATTGTCACCGCGCTTCATTTAACGATGTAACCTAACTCGACCTACACTTATGTACATAGAAAGCTAACTTAGAAAATACATACATATATCCAGCTTAAATTGGCTTGCTCATAAGAACTCTGTGCTCTACATTGCAGAAATTCTCTCCTGTACCGAAGGGATGTTCCCGCCTCCTAATGAAAGCGCTATATAGTCTGAAAAGGGTTCTGAGTTAATTTGAACTTACTTTTAAGCCTAAGCTCATTATATATATCAGATTTAAGGTTTATAGAATACAACGTTGCGACTACTGTTGACGTCACCGACATAACTTCGTCAAATATACAGTGGGCGAGACTCGCTATATATATTTCCCAAAAAAGTAATATCTTCCATTAAAAAATATATACATATGTAAGAAATCCAACTAAAATAAATATGACAAAAATTTTCTTATACAGAAGAAAACACAAATTACATAATATTTTTAATAGATATTTTTTTTTGATAACGCCTCCGCAGTCACAAATTTGGCGACTTTTTACTATGTGCAAAGCGCAAGGCATGGCCTGTTTTGACTAAGCAATGGTCCAGGTGGCCGAAGACCACCAAATGTGAATTTCCAAAAATATAAATTATTGAAATTTTTTTTAATTTTTGTCAACAATAACCCACTGCACACTGTTTGACCGCTTCGAAATTTTAAACGCGTTCACAACAAATTATTTCGCTCTTGTATTAACCTTCTATTCTGTAAACCATGTCTCAGATTCAGTAATAAATAAATTCCGTTTAAAAAACCAAATTAAAAATGAAAAAAATTCTAGTATGAAACTTATGACTGGTACATGACATTCCTTAGGACTTCGCCGTGTTTAAAATACCAGTTGTTAATATTGGAAAATTATTTGTTGAAGAACCAAAAACAAGTAGCCTACTCCTTCGTGGCACAGACAATGCCAGCATGGAAATCTGTACACAATTTTTTTTTACGATAAAAGGCTAGGAATTTTTCTCCGAAATGTTCTTTCTGCATCAGCCTTTGAATAGCTTTGAGTTTAGGTTACAAAACGAATATGAAAAACATATAATTATTATTAAATTATATTACCAATGTTGAATGAAAACTAATTTTTAGAAAAAAATCGTTGCTACGAAATGTCCTCGTTTGACGAGAAACAAGCTACCGCGCTGCTCAAAGAGCGTCCCATTGAATTTGTGAACTACAATAAGCATCAGCTATCTCGAGTTTATCCAACAGGCACCCGCTTTGATAGTTCCAATTTTATGCCGCAGGTGAGTATTTTCTCAGACTTTCGATTTATGTTCCTGTTAAACTAACAAATTTCCTTCATATTTGCATAAATAACAGCTCTTTTGGAATGCCGGCTGTCAGCTGGTGGCGCTCAACTATCAAACTTTGGATTTAGCTATGCAATTGAATTTGGGCATATTCGAGTATAATGATCGTTCTGGGTACTTACTGAAGCCAGAATTTATGCGACGCACCGATAGACGTTTGGATCCGTTCGCGGAGAGTACAGTATGTTAATCTTACTTTAATTCCTCAGTGTTGAGAAGAGATTTTATGTGTTTGCTTCAATTTAGGTCGACGGCATTATAGCAGGCACTGTGTCCATAACGGTGTTGTCGGGACAATTTCTAACAGATAAACGTGTGGGCACATATGTGGAGGTGGATATGTTTGGACTGCCGGCAGATACAGTGCGGAAACGTTTTCGTACGCGTATTGTACGTGATAATGGCTTGAATCCGGTTTATGATGAGGAGCCGTTCGTTTTCAAGAAGGTACTGAGAGTAACTATTCGATTCAGTTAGTTTTGGGATAATTTTTAATTCTATTTTATTTTTCATGAAGGTGGTGCTGCCCGAGCTGGCTAATATACGTATAGCAGCCTACGAAGAGGGCGGCAAATTCCTTGGCCACCGCGTTCTGCCCGTCATTGGCTTATGTCCTGGCTATCGTCATGTAAATCTGCGCACCGAACTGGGACAGCCCATGACTTTGGCATCACTCTTCCTCTATATTGTTGTTAAGGATTATGTGCCAGATGACTTGTCAAATTTCGCTGAGGCACTAGCCAATCCGATTAAATATCAAAGTGAGCTAGAGAAACGCGACAAACAATTGGCCGTACTGACTGAGGGCACCGAACCGATCTCTTCGGACGAGGACATAACCAACTCATGTAAGTTATATATACATACATACGTATGAGATACTTATTTGTATAAATATACATACATGAATGAACTGTTTATATGTATAGTTGTAAGTAGTTGAGCATGAAATTGTATATCTCGGTGTGGGTTCATCCTCAATTGGTGGCGTAGTTTTATTCTAAGTTTATTTATATTTCCTTATGATAATTTCTAGTAGTATATTTACAGATTTATTTATGCCTTCTTTGGTTATTTGAACTGTTTGTCTCTATTTCTTTTTTTCTTTTTAAATTCATTTAAATATGTATATTCTTCCACCACTACAAACAACTGTTGGTTACCGGACACTGCAACATTTTCCTTCTCTGTCTACAACTAATATATTTATGTATACGCATATCTACACTCTAACAACACTCCATACACAACAACAATAAAAACAACAACAATACCTAAACACGTAAAACACATACGTTTGCTCGCAACCTCGTTAAATCGTTACCCCGTTAACCTTACGCCTGCCTACGTGCCCATTAAACTTGACGAACAAAGTCGTTTTTGTACAAGTAGGTGGCCAGAAAAAGGAACTCCGCCCCGTCGAGTCGACGACCATGAGTCCGAAACATCGTACCAGTATTACCGCTGCCACAGCCACCAGCGTAGAAGCAACGTCTGGTATGGATCAAGACACAGCAGATTCGGGCACTGCCGGCGGCCCGGGCTTCACGCATCAACATTCACTCGACTCAACAGCACAGACATCTATTAGACAGGTGGAGTCGTCACAGTTCGATGTAGATCTGGTGCGCGCTGAGCCGTTGGATAAGATACTTGATCACAAGATGGTGCGTGAGAAACGTAGCGAGATGGAAAAGAAGTTGGAGTCATTGCGCAAGAAGCATGATAAAGAGAAAATTAAGATCGCCACACAAAAATCCAGTCCCATGGATGGTAATAAGAAGCCCATGTTCAACATTGCCAGCAAATTGAAGAAACGTCTGAGCAATAAGAGTCTGTAAGTATGTCTTTGTACGCATTTCTCCACTAGTGCGTATGTGTTTATACTCCCATTTTCACATTTAGTATAGTATTTGTCTTTCCCCTAGCGACACGGGTGTGGAGGTGCCCGCCTGTATGCCAGATATTGGTGATCTCAACGATGAGTATGTCGACGGCGCCACGAGTAGCGGTGGTGAGAGCCCCGCGCTAGTCACACGCTCTCAACAAGATCGCATGCTTACCTCGTGCCGAGAGTACTCAACGCAGTATCGAGATATTCAAGAGAAATATCATGAAATCATTTACGCTTTGGCCGATAAGGTTTTGCGTAATTCGCAGGCAAATCAAATGAAGCAACTGAAGGCATCACTGGATCGTGTCACCTCTGAGGTAATGCATCAGCTGCAGGAAGCGCGGCGTACGGAGGTGAAAAACTTGTCATCCGTTCATCGTGATCGTGATGAGTTAGTGAGGTGAGTCAGTCCCACAGATGTTCGTCATGAAATTAAATTTTTAATGCAAATATTTAATTTTCGATTTGAATAGAATGAAGCGTGAAGTGGCCAGCTCGGTTGTGGAGCGTGGTGTTGCCGAACGTGTGCGTCTGAAGCAAACATACGATAAACGAACCGATGATCTACAGAAACAACACGAAATTGTGCGCAATGGGCTAACTGATCATCGAAACAAGGTAATATTTGGTTATGAAGAGTCTACAGAGCTTAAGAGCCCTCACATGCAGTGTTATAAACTTACTCACATTCCACGTTTACGGTGCCGAGTATCGATTCTTCCAAGCTTCGAAAGTAATTAAGTATTGACACCGAGAGCGCTTCATCTTGGGTAGCGAGGTAAGGCGCTGGTCTGTATCAGTGTTGCCATGAGCCGTTAGTGAATCGTTAGAACAACAACAATAATGTTGCCATAGCTGTCTACAGCGCTTTGTTATCCCGTCTGTGGTATTTGGCATCACTTATACACAACACCTCTCAGAAAACTGCTCGTTCTACTTCCACGCCGGTCCCTCACATAGGATGACGAGCGTGATATCTTCACCTGTGCACTTAACAGATGCATCTCTTTTCCGTATATTGATGCTGTCATAAGGTTTCACAGGGTATGTCTCCAAGAAGTGGATCCTTGATTAAAGAACCTCAAGCCAGTGACGAGCTAGTCTCAGATGAAGAGTTTACAACCAAGAAATGTGTTACAGAAGTGCTACTGACAGACCTTCAACGCCTGCCGCGGATAGTCTTTCAACAACTTCTGAGCTATATGTCAGTAAATGGCCTCATTGAAATATATAGTAAACACCATCTATAGTTCGAGCTGATCTGGGAGACGAAAGAAATATTGGCACAGTAGGCTTAAGGTTTCTGCACAATGTAGGGGAAACCCATAATTTTAACCATCTTGCTCAGTCTCCATCATAGGTCATACTCAATTTATTAAGGTACCGTTAACGCTCTACGCTTCGAATATTATGTTGTTCAAAGTCGTTGGCGGCGAAATACTTCGGCCTCTCGATGAACTCTATAAAATTTTAATATCACTGAGTTCAAAGGATCCCCTAATACTTTCCAATCCTTCAGATAGCAGTCCTTGCAGGGGAATAGTGTCCGAGGACTACTTCCTGTCAGATTATTGAAAGTTGAATGGAAAAAACCTTTAGTCACATTTCGCGCAATTTACTGATACTGAGTTGAGAAGGTAGCACACTCGAGTGGTGTCAGATAGTTTTAATTAAGTTCAGTTTTCTCTTAGCTCCCTCCACATTTTTATATCCTTTTTTAAATATAATTTTCAAGACTTCAATATTTTCCACAGGCCCGTCAAATACTCGAAAAGGAAGCCGAGTCTCGAACTTGTATTTTTAGCAATGGATTCCTGGTGCTGTTCCAAAGCGGCGGTGGTAGTGGCGGTGGGGCCGCTTCCACGTCCGCCACAAGCAATAATCTCACATTGAATTTAAACGGTGGCAACACCATATCACCAGCGCGTTCAAGTAACAGTATCACGAATAGCACTGGCGCAAGGAATAAAGATGATTTGGGCGGTGGCGGAGGTGGGGGAACTGATGATGCAACTGGCGCTAATGCTTATGCTGGTGCTGCGGCTGGTGTTTAAACCCCGCATCGTCAACGTATACAATGAAACAGTATTTGTTGTTCTTGCGAAAAGGAAAGCAAGCTGAAGAGAGGTTTAACCAGACCTGAAAGTCAAACTAAACAAATAAATACATAAATTAAAGGATTAATTATAGAGTAGATGAAATATTAAATGTGCGTAGCAATGGGTTCGGTATATATAAATATGTAGCAAAGGCATATACGTATATAAATAAAAAACGTAAATTAAAAATATGAAATTATCTAGTTGAAATATATAACTCAAAAACTGTTAAAATATCTAAGTGTTGGTTATGTGAAAACTATTTATAAATGCTGATGTTAATGTACACTAAGTACATATGAATGTATGTAACTTACATTTATGCATTATGATAATGTGCACTAGTTATTGCACTAAATTATACACATATATACAGACAAATGTGTATGGCTCTGATGTACGTTTTTAGAAATAGAATATGCATATACCTACATATGTTATATATTCATACTCATAAGTATTAGTAAATAAATGTTAATCTATGGTTATTTCGAAATCATATTAATTAAGTTATGAAGGTAGCTCAAGAGTTTGTTTCCTTCTTTTGGAACAAAATCTGCGATTGAGTAAAAGCAAAGTATTTTTAAAAATAAATAAGCTAAATAAAATAAAAAAATAAAAAATGGTCAAAAATAAAATAATATAAAAAAGTGAAATAATGATAAAATATAAAATAAAATTTAAAAATAAAATAAAATAAAATAAAAAATAAAACTAACCAAAATGAAATAAAATCATAATAATAAAATAAATTATAAAAATAAATAACAAAATAAAATAAAAAAAGTAAAACAAAACAAGAAAAAAAATTAAATAAAAATTTAATAGAATAAAATAAAAGTAGTTGAGAAAATTTAAAAAGGAAAAAACAAAAAAGGAACAAAATAATAAATCAAACTAAATTAAAATAAAATAAAATAAAATAAAATAAAATAAAATAAAATAAAATAAAATAAAATAAAATAAAATAAAATAAAATAAAATAAAATAAAATAAAAACAAATTTTAATAAAATAAAATGTAATAAAAAAATTAAATAAAAGGTTATAAAAAAATTTTAAATTTAATAACAGAAATAAAATATATTAAGACCAGAATGTTTTCGGAAATTGTGTTTTTTTATATTCGCGGTTTGGTTTTTCATGAATTTGTTCCAAAGAGACAAACGGTCAAAAAAGAATATTATTTGAGCATTTTGAGGCGTTTGTGCGAAAACATCCGTCGCAAACGGCTGGAAATGTGGGCCAACAATGTCCGAAAACATTCATGACGATAATGCGCCATCGCATCGAGCTGTAGTTGTTAACGATTTTTAGACCAAAAACTCGTTCGATACCATCGATCAACCACCGTATTCACCAGATTTGGTCCCATGCTGCTTTTTCGTTTCCAAAACTTAAGTTAGCCTTTTCAACTCTATTTAGGCCGTAACAGAAAACTCGCGGAGGGAACTGAGGTAGACCGATTTCATTAGCTGCAGCAAACAAAATGGTTGACAGATCGCGCTCAATTTTGGCAAAGTAATTAGGGACAGTGCAACCAACTTAACAAAAAAGTGCTGAAAAATATTCAACGCGATCAGTTTGAATGATGATTTCCGGAAACTTTCTGGTCTTAATGTAAAATAGAAAAATAATATAAATAAAATAACTAAAATAAAATGAAGCAATATTAACTAAGATAAAAAAATTAACATAAAATAAAAGATTTTTATCTTCTGAAGTTTAAACTAAAATATAAAATTAAATTAAATTAAAATAACTAATCTTAACTAAAATAAAATGCATTAAAATAAAATATAATAAATAAAAATAAAAGAAGTAAAAAAATAAGTATTTTAGTAAAATAAAAACATAAATAAATTAAGAAAAAAAATTCAAAAACTTAATTGAAGTGAATTATAAACAAATAAGATTTAATGCAAATTCAAATATACAAAAAAATAAAACTAAAAACCCAAAAGTTGTAGAAAAATAAAATAAAACAAAAACAAAAAAAAATATAAAAAAAACTAAAAACAAATCAAATAATCTAAAATGGTTTATGTGTACGTACTTTCATGTACCTATAAAATATTAGGTTATAAGGAATATAGATATATAATGCAAACAAACAAACTGTAAATTAGGTGGAAAACAATGTTGTGAACTTTCTAGTTTAGCTCATAGTTTTTATGCTTCAAAATACATATATGTATACATACTTTAGTGTAGTTTGTTTAGCTTTATAGCAAAGATTTTTAAAAAACACTATATCGGTACTAAAACTTCTAGAAGAAGCAAGAAACTCAAATACAAATTTTTCCAATTACTTTGTTACAAAATCCTCTTTGATAATATCCACACGACTGTTTTTCAAACTTTGGTTATGATTCAAATGTATGAATAAACAAAACGGAACTGTGTAAACGAATATAATATGAGTTGAAAATCGTGAAAATCAGTGAAATTCGTTATATTTTTATGACCTTTAAAAAATTTCTTTTTTTTTTGGTTCAAAGCTAGCATTTAGCTAGACTGAATATTATATGACAAAAAATACGTAGCTATGTTCTTTTGGCTCAAAATATTGTATTCAAATTTCAATTTTTCGAATCTTGTTCAAAATTCAATTATTCATTTCGACATCTTTTCAACATTGTGTTACAAAGTTTGAGAACATGAAGTTTTTGCTTGAATTTTATTAATAAGATTTTAAACTAAATTAACTCATATTCGAAAAACGCAATGATTGAACTGAAAAGCAGTCCTAAAATTGTTCCAACCCGTTTATTTATGCAAATGAATACGTCGTTATTTATGAGAAAATAATATTGCACAAAAAAAAACTAATAAATTTTATGCTATATTTTTTTTAGTATTTAACTGCCTAACATTAAATTAAATTTCTTTCAAATTTACTCAATAATCAATTGAAAACATATTGAATTCACTAAATTACTTAAATCTGCTTTTAACGGTTGTATTGTATTTAATAAGTACAATAATATATATTATATTTATATAATTTTAACAGTTAGTTGAATTAATAATGGCTAGTCCAAGAAGTAGAGAAAATAAATGCAAAATATGAATCTCTTCTCAAACTCGTGTTAAACAAACTGCAATATTTGCGAGAGAGAGAAAAAAAAACGAAACGCTCGATATACAATTGAACAAATTTTATTATGTTTATGGTACTAAGTACATACTTACATGTTACATATGTGTGGTAATAAGTTTACTATCTTATTGTAAGCCACTACTTTACTCTCTAGTTTCTTTAGTTGGAATATTTCTTTACGTTTTCTGTACGACTCTTACTGTCATTGATGAGTCATATGAAAATTGGTTTTAGAAAATATGATTTAAACTCTCTTCTTTGACATTCACTTTCTTCATTCATAAAACGTTCGATATACCGAAAATCCATCGACTCATAAATGATTAAACAATGAAGCCGAATTCTTAAAACCTTTTTATTGGCAGCATTCTTATTAACTAAAATAAGTGTTTAAATTAGTTGTGCACCGTTAATGGAATTATCTGTTTTTACAATAGTAAGTGTAAAATTATTATTTATTTGCTTTCTTAATTTATTTATTATACCTAATTTTCTGTACATTAATTATTTGAAATAAAAACATAATCTCATTGTTTGAATAAAAATGGTTTTCATAATAGTTTTTCTGGCTATATAACTTTTTTTTTATTTATGTATTAAGTAAATCGAATATTTTTATTTTACAACAAAGAAAAATGATAGAAGTGACAGCTGTTTCGGAGATGGTTTTTTTATTATTTTATTTCTTCCTTTATGAATATTTAAGTTTCTTTACTTGTGATTATTAGTATTAAAATTTATTTTTACTATAATATTTCTCTATGCATCAATATTTTTTTTTTTTAGTACAGTCCACAACAACTTACACCTTTGCAACACCAATACAACAGTGACTATTTCATATTGTACATTTTCAAAAATAAAAAATAAGAAACTGGAAAAATTAATCAAAATAACTGCTTTAAAGTAACAAAATACTAGTAAATATTAGTATTTTGTAAACTAATCTAAAACTGACAATCAAATTTACTCTACATATTTATAAGTTGCCCTCAAAAAAAAAAAAAAAAAAAAAAACGTGATTTTTAGCGAGAAACGTTGAAAGAAAAAAATATTTTCGGTTAGTTTTTAGATTTTTTTGAATTAATTTTTAAATCTATTAGGTTTTTTAAATATCAAAATTCAATTTCTTTTAGTTAAAATAACATAAATTAAATCTGAACCAATTAAATAAAAGGGATTGAAATAAGAACATAACATAACTAAATTTTTTGATATAAACAAACGAAAATATCAACTTTTTACTTTTTATTAAATCCGAACAGATTAAATAAATTAGAGTCAAAAATTTAAATTAATTTAATAAATTGTAATAAATTATTTAATGAAATAATTTGGATGAATCCTATTATTTATTGATAAAACTAAGATTTTCAAAGCCGGTTGTCTAAATTTGGCATCCGATTGGTATATACGAGGTGTGAGAATTAGGTAATAATACTGATTATATTGCCACGATTGTGGTAACCCTGCGATCTTCCCTTCTCCTGGCATCCTTCTCCTCTCCATTGGTGTATTTGCCATCGCTCTAGCTTGTTTATTTCGGCTGCTGTGCCGTGTTGAGTAAACGTGCGTTTGCGGTGCTCGTCACGAAAATGGAAAAACGAAATAAAGAGCAACGCGTCGCGATAAAATCTTTCGCCGAATCGGGCGAAAAAGCTCCGGAAACGTACACTAAATTGTAAAATTGCATGGTGATAGTACTTTTAGTCGTGCCCAGGTGTTTCGATGGCATTAAGAGTTTAAGGAGGAGCGTTAAAGCGTGGAAGACGAGGCGCGGAGCGGGATACCCTTGCTTTTTTTGATAGCCATGGAATCGTGCACAAAGAATTTCTTCCACCGGAGCAAACCACAAATCAAGTCTACTATCGCCAAGTACTCGAAATATTGCGAAAACGAGTCAACTGGATGCCCCGAAACATCGCTCATAACTGGATCCTTCATCACGACAACGCGCCGAGAGCCACCGCCCCCGGCATGTCCCAGTATTTGGCCTTCGTGTTCAACAAACGCCT